CTTTCCATTGGGAGTAAGCCTCCTTTTTGGCAAGGAGACATTCCCGGATGTTTTTAGTGAGCCATGGAGGCTTATATGCTCTCCTGCCCCCTTTGACCCTCCTGGGGATTACCTTCCTCTGGGCTTGGAGGATCGTCTCCTTATCTTCAGAGCTCTTCATCCTGTGGCTTGAAATTGGAGAGAACTGTTGCTTGTTAACCAATAAAACTTCTTGGAGAATTTTTGCTTTATTGTAGAAAACTTTTTCTGGTAGATATAAGTTGTTCTTACAGTGATTAATTTTTATATTCAAGTTTGGTGCTTTCTCTTTTGGGAATGCATTTCTTTTTCTCTCTCCTGTCTTTATGTTAACCTCCTTTTGATTCCCATGCAAAGCTTTTCATTGTTCACAAGGAAGGAGGTGATGAGCGATTTATTTTTGGTCATCTAAGAAATTACTGAACAGTATCATAAAAGAGGTGCTTAGTGTTGTCACTTTTATTATATATTTGGTTTTTACTTTAAAATGTCTCTCTTAATGGTGCCTCCATAATTTGTGGCTCCGGTTTGTTATTTCAGTCAAAGATTTTATTGTTATATAAAATAGACTTTGATGGTTGTGATCTGTTTTTCCAGATTTATTCACTGTACTGATGATTCCCCTGATCCTTCCTTGGACTATGAGGTAAGACTCCTCTTGACTACATTATCCTTGGAAAGATTGTCCCTTTTGCTTGGGAGGATACGAATAAAACATTTACTCATAAAAATGCCAGACTAACAGCTCTAGAGAGTGAATGAATAGTGAGTGTGCTGTGCTGTGTTGGTTTTAATGTTCCAGATGCAGGGCAGGCGATATTACTGCAAGCTTCTCCACAGTTTTCCCACAATGTGTGGGGTGGTGATGGGAAAGGAATAACATTTTAATGGTTGAGAGTTATATATTAGAGACTAATATATATTAATATATATACTAAAGACCATTAGCGACTAACTGGTTCAGAGTGGCATGAGTTTTTATAGGCAGCAACTGACTTCAGAGCCTTTGGACCGGTGAGTTTCTAATATGCCACCCTGCCCTACCTTTTGCCTGACTTCAACTAATGTGGCTAATCGCTTCGGACATAGTGTGCATTAGTACCCCCTTTTTATGTTTGTATATCTTTGTTAATTACTTTGTTACACTATTACTTTGTCATGGTACGCGCAGTAATTTTGCATTTAAATACAGCACCTGTAGTCTCAAAATACAAATGTGAATTAAATAAACCTTAAGCAATCCCAGAGTGCTTTAGAAATGTTAGGAACTGGGTCACTGGGAGGCCCAAATTTTCAAGTTTCCATTAAAAGTAGGAGTCTCACTTTTGGTTGCCTGATGAGAGCCATGTACGACCTGACTATAACAACTGGGTTCCAAGAGCTTGAGCAACCTAGAAATTGAGGAACCCAAAGTTGAGTGAGCACTTGTCCTCCAGACACGGAGTTCATGGAGTAACCAAGGATAGGATCCAGATCTTCTGACTCCCAAGGTGTTTTAACCTCAGGACAATCTTCTCACTTGACCATAATGTTAACTTCCATTACAAACCCCTATGTTGAGGCATTTGCGATGGTTTTTACGTTCAGAAGGTATCACAGGAGGTTGCTTTGGCATGTAATGGAGGGAAGGATTAGTTTGTTTAAATTTAATTCAACCCGTTAAGTATTTAGTGAATGCTTTTGGATGAGGGTGATCTTCCTGCCGAATTCCTTGATGATTTTGTTGTTCTGTGCTAATACTGTTTGAATATACAATTACAATGGAAAAAACTCAGTTTCCTTCCTCCTTCCCCCAACTAAAGCATAGGTTTGAAATTCTGGATCAGAAATCCTGTCCGTGTTAGAAGGTTGTATAGGAAATCTGACCTGGCTGTGATACGTTACAGAATGCTTTGTTACTAGCTACTCCGATACAGGTCAATGGAGAAAATGTATTCTTCCCAATCCAAGAAGAATTGGTGTTTCATGTGAATGAATCTTGCCTGGAAAAAAAATAGATGGGAATGTTAGAATGAGGGAAGGAGAGGAAAGATTTTTTCATTCAAATATTCATGCACCCAGGGAATTAATGTTGCCTTTAAGCCAATAGTTCTCAACCTCTCTAGACTCAAGGTTACCCCTCTTTAGGTTCAGGGCACCCCTCAAAAATAATAGAGCAATTCCTCTGTTACAAAGAACTCCTGAAGACCTCGATAGGGCAGAATAGTTCTTAACGCTACGGCTTTCTATCTGAAAACTTCAGGTTTCTCTTGAGAATCATGTGTGGACACCTAACATGGCTAAAATTGCAGTTGAAAAACTCCCTTGGGGGAAAAAAGAGTCCCAAGGTACCTCAGGGTGCTGTGGCATACTGGTTGAGAATCACTGCCTTAAACAATAGTGACTGGCTGGGTCTTATGAAATTGATATCAGTGTCTTGTGTTTGAATTAATAGGAGAGTCTTTACAGCATGTTTACTGCAGTATTTCAAACTCTCTTCAATCACAATAGAGTCTGTGCTGCAGTAATATATATTCCTCTAATAATGTTCCAGGTGTGTGACTGAAATGAAGCTCCTTTTTAAAATTATTTTTATTGCTTTTCATATGTGAATTCTAAGCCATTTTAGTGGGATGCAGAGAGCACAAATAGGAAAAATTATAGTCTAGTTATCAAATGCAATTTTGCTTTTATGTGATAGCTTTACACATAAATAGGTAACAAGATAAGCCAAACTTCTTTGAAATATTTCCGCCAAGGTAATTACATAGACTATAACTATGGATTTTTTGGTTTCCTGTATAAAGAATTTCCCACAAGATTATTTTTCTCAGTTACAGCAAATACAGTCATAGTGTCACAATGTTTCTTTTGACAAAAGTTGCCAGTTAACTCCTCTTTAAGCCATACTTGGATATGTCTTTTATTTTCTTCTTTCTATAGCTTGTCCTTCGAAAATGGTGTGAATTAATTCCTGGTGCAGAATTCAGATGCTTTGTCAAGGAGAACAAGCTTATAGGTATGCTTTTTTCATTTAAGGTTTATTCTTATTCCCTTTTAATTACTGTAAAGCAGCCAGGAGCAACGTTTTTGGCAGGCATGCCACAAATTAGCCCCGAGTATCACTTGGATCCCTTTACCCTACTTGCCCCACTTTCTGCTTCCTGTCTGGTACTCCCTGTCTGCTCTGATGTTATGCTTTCTGCTCTGTGCCCTGTCTGTCACTGTGCTGTCAATCCTCTCCATTGTCGGGACCTGCCACACAGAGGCTGCCGTGCCACTTATGGCACCCATGCCAGAGGTTGGCCACCCCTGTTGTTGTAAAACACAGTAGTGTGTAAGGGAAGAAACATTTCCATGTCATACACAGTAGATGGGGATCTGTCTTGTCAGTGCACAGAGAGCCAAGTTTGTCCATTTTTGGGCTGGGAAGTTCCAAGTGGAAGGTGGGTCAACTTTGCCCCTTATAGACTAACTAAATTAGAGAGAGAGAGTGCACAATCTTTCATGAGCTAGAGCTCACTTAACCAGATGCTGTGAAAGGACATGAACAAACCCATTTATAAAATGGAGAGAGTGATGTGAATAAAAAGGTAGAAAGGGATGGGGAGAGCAGAGGGCAAAGGGAATAATGATGGGAGAGGCAACAAGTGAAAAACCCATAGGAACAAGTTCCAAGTGACCACAATGTACATCAGTGGCAAAGTCCTTTATCATGGGTTTATTGCATAAAAATAAGAAATCTGTCAATGTGCATTTTGGCTGATTTTTTTTTTTTTTCAGTTGATTTTTCTGAAAATAATTCAAAATTTGCATCATCACAGTCAACAACCAGTCATCATCAATGGCTCAATGTCTAATTAGGAGGAGGTATCAAGATGGGTTCCTCAGGTGTTGGTCCTAAGTCCAGTATTGGTCAACATTTTCATTAACAATTTTGTTCATGGGATTGAGTTCACATTTGGCAAGTTTGCTGATGACACCAAGTTGGGTGGCATTGTAGACCTTCTGGAGGGCAGGGCTAGGATCCAAAATGACCTGGATTGACTGCGGACCACTTTTCCAGTTAATCAGATCAGGTTCAGCAAGGACAAGCTCAGTCCTGCACTTGGGAATGGAATAATTGCATACACGGATACAAACTGGGGAATGACTAGTTAGGCTGCAGTACTGCAGAGAAGGACCTGGCAATTGCAGTGGACTGTTAGCTAAATATAATCCACCAATGTGTTCTTGTTGCAAAAAAAAGACACTGGATTATATCAAGACAGTTGCTTGCAAATCAAGGGAAGCAATTCTCTTCAGCACTGGTGGGTCCTCACGTGACCTCACAAAATTTGATTAAGGTCCTGGTAAGTGAAACTTATGAGGAAAGACTGAAAGACCTAGGGTTATTCAGTCTGGAGAAGAGAAGACTTGGGGGGGATTTGATAAGTCTTCAGAGACCTGAAGGGTGATTTATAGAGTTGATGAGAAAGTCCTTATCCCCTACAGCCACAGAGAAAAGCCCAAAGGCAGGGGTGGGCAAAATACAGCCCGTGGGCTGGATCCAGCCTGCAAGACCTTTCTATCTGGCTCATGGGGCCCCTAAAAAAAATATAGAAAATTTAATAGTTCTCTGCCCTTGGTTCCTGTCAAAAATGACAGGAACCAAATGCAGTAGGACCCAGGGGAAGCCTGGCGGGCTCCAACAACAGCAGGGCCTGCCCAGCCCTGACCCCCAGCTGGAAGACCCAGCCAGGGTTTCTGGGCTGGGAGCACATGGCTGCCCCGGTGGGAAAGCTCAGGTAAGTGGGCATGGGCAGCCCCAGGCAGTGCGGGGTGCCAGGCATGGGGCAGGGAGGGGCCACTTTTCCCCACCCTCAGCACCAGCTTCTTCCCTGCTGGTGAGCAGGGGGTCGGGGCTGTGTGCTGCCCCCCACCTGTACCGCGGGGCTGGGGGGCACTGGTTGTAAGCTGGCGGGGAGCCAGTAGGAGCACAGGGCCTGCACCGGTGTCCCGGGGCCAGTGCCGGTGGGGCTCAGAGCAGGGTACCAGGAGCGTGGGGTCCCAGCTGGCAGGGACTCCGTGGAGCCGGGCCAGCTCCCCCCTCTCTGCTGGTGCAGCCCAGCTCAGCTGCACAGACCCCTGCCAGCCTGTGCCCCGCTCTGGGCCCCACCGGTGCTGGCCCTGGGACGTTGGTCCCAAGACATTGGGACATTGGTCCCAAGATAGTGACCAGGGGCTGGGGCACCTGTCAAGGGGCAGGGCTACCCATGCAGCCCTTGACAGCCTGCTAAAACTGGGTAAGCAGCCCTCCGCCCAAAATAATTTCCCACGCCTGGACTAGGAGCAACGGCCTTATGCTGCAGCAGAGGAAATTTTAAGTTGAAGATTAGGAGGACCTTTCTTACTAGAAGGATAGGCGAGCACTGGAACAGGCTACCTTGAGAAGCTGTGAAATCTCCATACTTGAAAATGTTCAAGAGCAGGTTGGACAGACACTTGGCTGGGATGGTTTAGTCAGGGGTGAGCCTGCTTTGAACAAGGGGCTGGACCAGATGACCGCAGTTTCCTTCCAGGCCTACTTCCCTGTGGTTCCCACTTTCCTCAAATGGTGAGGCCTGACGGCCATGCCTGGAGGTGACACACAGCATGTGTTGCAAGAGTGCACTTTTCCAGTTGGACAGCTACATCCCCAGAGCTGCCGTCCTCTATTGATATGGTTTGGACCTGCAGTCAGCTTTGCAACAGCTGTTAATACTTAGAAATGGAGTTATCCATTTTTGCATGTACCATTTAAGACCATGCCTCAGAATTAGACAGTGTGGACTTACAGTAAGAGATGAGCTCTGACATCATTCATGTAACTAAGATAACACAGATACAACCCATAGGTCTTCCTTATGGGATTTTTCTTGTCACTAGTAGCACAAGTTACTTGCATTCTAGTGATGGAGAATGTGTTGATTTGTCATATGTGCAGCAGGATTTTACAGTTGCTCACATCTATGTATTCAGTGTCAAAGCATCTGTCACTTAAGATGCATGTTAAGTGTATCCAATTTGAGTCATTCTATTGCTATCAACTTAAATTAATGTCTTTCAGACAGACAAAATACATGCATTTGTAATCATCTGATTCAGGCCAGAGTGATTTGTGAGGCATGGGGAACAAAAGACCGTGCTGGAGTGAATTGGAGAAAGCCTTGAGTTGCATTTTAGGGGAACAAGTTGCTTTTTTATGAGAGAGATTGTCAGATCTATGTTAAAAAACTGCAGGATTTAACACTTGGAGTACTGTAGAAAGAAAGTGCTTCCTCACACACCTTTTATCAAACACCTGCCCCTCTTAACCAAGTCAGAACTTACCTCTTGGGGTCTGCCTTACTTACCTCCTGGGCTCTGCCTTCTCTGTGGACATGCTGGCCTAAATTCTGTCCCTCACACTCCACAGATCCTAGTTGCTCCCATTCATCATTTCCGATGCATCTCACCTCCCTCCCCACTGCAGGGTGCCCAGCACTACATCAAGTCGGGAGCATGGGGGAGAGTTTTTTTTTTGGCAGAGTAAACAGGTAGAAAGTAGCTTTTTCAAAGAACCCCAGCTCCCTTCCACATCCAGAGTGCACTAATTGTATAGTGTGGCCAAATAGCTGGCATCTCCTCCTTAACATTCCTGGTAACCCTGAAAAACTGACCACTTGCTAAAGGTATTGACCTCAGCTGAATGGATGTCCCAAGGCTTAAATCAGTAATGCAGTGTAAGGGTTACATAATACCAAAGGTTTCAGTCGTCTTGGTTTAGTGGTGGTTTTCCTGAATATCTTGCTAGTTTAGCTCAAGCTGCTTCCTTTCTGATTTTGAAAGCTTGATAAATGTGCCTCTCATTGTTTGTTAAGAAAAGAAAATTGCAAAGTATTTTCTCCTCTGTACAATATGCTCTGCCTATAGAAAGGCACTTTATATTTGTTTTACATGGGACTTGGTTGCCCCACCCTTTTCCGACCTTTCAGACATGCGAACTCGGGGAACCACATTTCATCATGAGCAGCAGTGTTGAGGACTGCTCCAGAAGCTAGGTGTACTGATAGAAGTAAAGAGCCGTGTTTGGCCTTTCTCTTGGGAACATCCGTCAGTGACTCCTTAGCACCGGTTCAGGATTGTGGCGTTGGGTTCAAAGGAGTGTTCTGTCCAGCCTTTTGGGACTTGAAAGTCTGCCACTTGTGGTCTTAATGGTTACTAAACACCTAGGAAATTGAAGAAACTTTACTAAGATCCACTGTGGAAGTGGCAAATGTCTGAAAGCATGCCCACATGTGTGGGTAATGAACACCATTCACCAGATGGAGGGCAGAATTAATGGAAAGAAAATTGTTAATATACTGAGGGTGCCTGAAATACCAGAGTAAAGACAATTGCCTACAGTTGCTATTGCTACAGTTCAAATATTATGATCTTTAATGTAATAGACTACAGTGTGCATCTTTCTGATAACTGGGTTCTATTCATCCAATTTCTTTGCATACCTGCACAACTCTAAAATATGGATGTAAAATGTGTATGGGTAATTAATTTAATTTAAATTTCTGACAGGTATCTCCCAGAGAGACTACACTCAGTACTATGAACATATCTCTAAACAACATGAAGAGATCAGCAGATCCATAGAGGAGTTCTTTCAGAAACACATACAGTATAAATTCTTGGATGAAGATTGTGAGTACCTCTAAGTTCTGAATGGGAAAAAGAGGATGGTGGGTAAGGATAATATTTAATAGAAGTACTAAGTGGATTGCTAGATGCTCAGAGATTTAATTTTAAACTAGAGTCTGAAAAACTGATCCTTCAAGTATGGGTTTTTTAAATGCAACTCCTGTTATCTCCAGAGGCAGATTTTAAGCTCAGAAAGACTTTCAGGACCAGATGCATAGTAATGAGACCTGTTAAATTATCTTGTCTTGTCCTTTGCCAGACCAGCATCATTTCCTACAGTAAATTCTGAAATCCCGTTATGTTACGTGGAGCAATGAAAGACCAGTATTTCTAGGTAGCAATTAACATTGCCAATGTACTAACTTTACATTCAGGTAATGTTCTTGTTCCCTCTGGCTGTATGCCTGTGCTACTTACTGGTTCTGTGGTATCTGTTTTACTGATTTAAAAGTTTTGTATCATTAAAAATGCCAGCAGTCTATGGCATAAACTTACAGAACAGTGCAGTATCTTCCGTGGTAGAAAGTTGGTAACGATAAAAACTAAAGAGAGTAGTCTGGATTCTTTCAGGAAAAAGTGTTGATTTGAATGATCCCTTCAAAAAGAGTTTAAATGCTTTTTTGCTTTATTTTTATTAGTAGTAGTTTTAGGTATTTCATTTATTTTTAAATGTAAGGAAACATTAGTGAGTGGACTTTGGTGGAAAATATATGTGAAAGAATACCCAGGAATAAGAAAAGGAACATTATTCTATTTTTCCGCAGACCAACACTGGAAGACCATTTCCACGATATTATATAAGTCTATTAAAAAAATTTGATACCCAAAATTGTAGCTGCTCAGACTTCTGTTCATAAGGGGCATGTACTTTTATTTTTTTAGAGAATCCACTACTGAAGTAGTAGAAGTAAATTTGAGGGGCATCATGTGCATGTTTGTTGTTTTAAACAAAGCAGAAAACCTAGTACAAATTCCATGCTGGAAACAGTCTCTTGCTACAGTTATTTAGTAGGCTGTCGGGGACCACCCCCCCCCCCCCAACCGTTATATTAGGCCATGATTAACATGTTAATAATGGCATAAACAGGAAGGGTGCTACATGTGCACCCCATTTAAAGTGCTATAAAATGGGGAATGAGCCATAAATACATTGAACATTTTTATAGCTCATTTGTGTGGTGCCTTAAATTGAACACATGGCTTGGGCCAAGAATTGGCTGATTTTTCAGCCCTGTGGGAGGCTGTGTTGGGGAAGAGCTTCCCCTGCCTGGCTGGACTGCCCAGTGCAGGTAACTGAGGCTCCCAGTGGGGGAAGCCTTTATCTTGCCCTGCCAGGGCTTTAAGTGCTACACAGAGCAGCCCTAGGCTGCCTGGCCAGAACTGCTCTGTATGGGCCTTAAAGTCCCAGTGGGAGGATGCCTCTGTTCCCCCAGCGCCAGGACTTTAAACCCTGTGCCAGGCAGCTCTGACCAGACTGCCCAGCATAGGGAACAGAGGTCCCAACAGTGGAAGTCTTGGCTTCCTCCACTGGGGACTTTAAACCCTGCGCTGAGCAACTCTACCTGGCTGGGTCCACAACTGCACCAAGGCCAGTTCCATACCCTGGTGCAGTCACTGGACCCAGCCAACAACTGCTTGTCAGTCTGACAGTTTGGGGCTGGTTCCAGACCTTGCTTTGGTCCCCAACTGGGCTGACATTCAGCTGATTGTCAGGCACCTGCCTTTCAACTTGTCAGTGCAGGGGAGCCCAGGAATATTGGCAAGTAGGGCATGATTGGGATCTGATCCCCAGTCTCAAAATTACATGTGGCATGGCAAGGTGCATGATTTTTGGGATCGGTGATCATATCCCATCATGGCTTTAAACGACCCATCTATCAGGGGCCTGGGATAGTGTCTCTGAGCAGCAAATGATCAAGATTTGGTAAAATTCCCAATTCCAGATAGTTTACACAGCTCAGGATGTAGATTGAAGCTCCCATCCAATAGAACTTTTTAATCTTGTGAGCTGAAATTAGTGGGGTTATTCATGTTTGTAGTGTTCATTTCAGTGGGATTTATTGTAACATTCATAAAGTTATATGCACGCTTAACTGGTTTGCTGTATCAATTTAATGATCAAATAGATCTTTCCTCTCTGACTTTCTAAAGCACAGTACATGCCCACCCCTGCTTTTACTTAAACATTAACAATCTGGGTCTGCAACATACTTCATAAAAGAGTTTAACTCTGGAATGCTTTTGACCTGAGAACAATGCATTAGTTTGAGGATTGGGCTTTGAGTACAGGGCTTTTATTTTTTATTGTTTAAATAAAAGCCCTGTACTTAACTACTAACATAATTGTAGCTGGTATGTAATCAGTTGCTTGTTAAGAATTCAGACTGATATTTTTAGAAAAGGTGCCTACAGTCAGGCTTCTTGGGTGATGTCTCAGAAACTGAGAGTTTCCCTGGCTGTTGCTGTGAAGTTTTCACAGGTCTTTTCCCTCATACAGAGTAGATGGAGCTCTGCTTTCTGAGTTGCCTTTTGGGAAAAGAAGGCTGCAAGTAGGGGTGCACCAATAAAGATTTTCTGGGCCGATGCCAATGGCCAATTATTAACAAGCCATATCGGCTGATTAACTGCCAAAATGCAGTGCTGCAGCTTGGAGAGCAGTGTCTGGCTGGTAAGTCTGTTGGGGGGAAGGAGCGAGACGGAGAGGAAAGGGATGTGGGGGGGCAGTGTGCAGATCAAGACTCCCCCGCACAGGCACAGTGAGGGAGGAAGTGGGGCGGGGGCAGGTGCTGCACAGCTAGGACAGAGCACAGGATAGAGTCATTCAGGGGGCACAGGGAAGGGAGGGCAGCTCCTGCTGCTGTGCGCACTCCTGGGGGAGGCATGGGGGACATGTGCCCCCCCGCCTCTGGATCTGTGTATGGGGCAAGGGTGGGCAACCCGCTGGGGGTGGCACTGGGCTTTTCCCAGTGGGTGGGGATGGGCTGGGGCTGTGCTCAGGCAGGTGGTGGCTTGAGGCGGGAGGGCTACGGAGCGGGCTATAGCCACTCCAGAATTTGCTCTAGCCCCCCTCTCAGCACTGCCACTGCCCTCTCCAAGTGCAGCCTGGCCCAGCTCCTCTGCTGGGAAGAGCCCAGCACTGCCCCCGGCCCCAGCCTGCAGTGGCAGTCCACCCTCACTCCATGCACGGATCCAGGGGCATATGCCCCCCATACCTCCTGTGGGGGGGGTGCACAGCAGCGGGAGCCCACTGTGCCCCTCTCCCCAGACAAGCTGCTCGCAGATCTGTGTTGCATCCCACTCTTCCCCTTCCCCCCTGCCACCTCGGCTGGGCAGTACCTTTCTCAGCCCCACTCCCTCCCTCACCGCAGGGGCCTCAATCTGCCCCCCCCCCACACATACACACACACCCCCCTCTACCCCACTCTTCCCTCCCAACAGACTTACCAGCTGGACGCTGCTTTCCAAGCTCCTGGGCTGGCCGCATGCATGCTGCAGTTGTGCATGCACATGCAGCATTTCTCAGCAACATCATCGGCCACATCAGCCAAAAAAAAAGAGCCAATTGCTGATAATCTCAATTTTCCTTTTATTGGTGCCGATACGATATGGACCAATGTATCGGTGCACCTCCTAGCTTCAGGTTACCTTCTGTGATGAAGACTTGTGCATCTGTAGTCTTGGGCACTAATAAGCACTGAGCTTTTTTTCTCCAGGGCAAGTGACTGCAGGGAAACACTACACAGCAATTAGTTTTTTGGGGCTTTTTTCATTTATGTCCATTGGTTTTGATTTTTTTTTCCCTGCATATCTCTTGACAGCATATCCAGTGGTTTGCAGGAAGTTGATAGTTGTTGCTCAAATAATCAAATTCTTTTCATTCTGTTCCATTCTTTAAGTGGCAGTGGTCTTGTTTCTCTGGCAAGCTGTCTGTGCTTTATTGCTACACTGTGAGCTGATTGCCACTCAGCCTTTTCCTCTTGGATTGGTAGCCTCTCCAGATGGGAGTGTTGAGTAAGTGCAGCTGGAGTGCTGCAAACTAACATGTTTTAAGAAAAACTTTGCAACCTTCTAAATACCGAGTGTGAGGAGGAATACAGTAGACGTTTATATCGTCGTTTTTCATCATCCTTATGAAAGATACCGTTTTGATAACAGCATAGCTGGCCTCCCGTTTAACAACAGAACATATGGATCAGCATGCACAATAGAAAACCTTTTTTTTTTCCCCCAGCTGAAATCCCATCAGGATAGGGGTGAAGCTGAAGGAGAGGGATAATGAAGTCTTCCTGCGTGTTCATTTTTTGTGTTGTACTAAGATCACCAGCCAGCCAATATGGCAATTAATACTAATTACAGTATGAATTCTCATCCACCAAAAATTGGGCTAGCACCACCAGGCAGCTATTAGATTTCAGTGACTTATATTTACTACTGACTTGGGCCTGACAGATGAGACATTTTGCAGTATGTTTTTATGCTGATTAAATGCAAGTGTTTGTACTTCCTGTTCCTATTAATCAGTAAGCTCAAATAAGCACATGTGATGGTAGAAGAAGCCTAATATTACTGTGCTTTCCTGTACAGGTGGATCACTGGTATGGAGGCTCATTTACCTGAGCAGGTTGCAGATGTTTAACTTCAGGGGTGATGTTTAAACTGATTTAGCAAAACTGGTGCTAAAGGTTGTGTGAACACTTAGTTTAACTACAGTTCATTGAGAAAAGGCTTACATTGAATTGAAACTGAGCACTCCTACATTGAAATAAAAGTGACTGTGTCGGGGCCTGCTTGGGTTTCCCTAAATCAAGTGGAAAGCAGTCAAGTCGGTACAACGTCAGCCTGTAGAGAGGGCCTTTGTTTGTGTGTGATCCTGCATAAGAAGATAATGCACCATGAAGTTGTGGGGGAGGGGTGTTTGGTATTGGGCATTGTTAAAACTATGGAAAAAAAGATGCACTGAAAGGCAAAACAAAGAAATGTCATAAGATAACCAACCTTGTTGACATCTCTGAACATGGGACAGACCTTGCTAGTCAGTGGATGTGCTGCAACTGTTGCACATTGTACTAAACACAGTAGTTGCAGTATTGGTCCTCAGCCACTCCACATGCCCCTGCCCCTGCTGCTCGTTTTTACTTCTTGTTCTATTTCATTGTGTGCTGAAATTGTAATCTCTTTGGACGAAGGGACTGTCTTTTATTAAATCCGTGTACAACATAGCCCCTTGAGATTACTGCCAATCAAGCAGTCATGACACAGAAGATGAAAGCTTTTCTCTGCTTAGAGCTGATGAAATATTTTGGATTGGAACAAAAATGCATTAAAAATTCAAGGGGTGTACTTGGTAGCCATGTTGGTCTGAGACAAAAAGACATACAAAAAACTAGAACTCTTGGTTCCAAAACAATACCTTTTATTAGATCAACTAGAAAATGGCAAGAAAATTGTCCGTTTCTGCAGGCTTTCAGGATCAAAGTCCCTTCATCAGGCTCTGGGAAAAGTGTAGATGGTACAAGGTGGTGAAAAGTCCCCATAGGTAGGAAATAAACTTCATTTTTGCACGGAGGGAGCTGAAGACGGAAGTCTGTCCCTCTGGGTCCATGAGAGTGTCTCTGTGAGCTGTGTTGAGTAGCTCTTTGATGTGTTGATCAGGTAGAATTCCTTCCCTGGAGGTGTCAGACGGCAGGCACGGAGGCAAAAAACTTCCTTGTTGTTCTGCAGTGAAGTTTAAAATCCGAAATCGGCTGAAATTCGTCATCTTCCATGTTTCAGGGGTGTACTTAGTAGCCATGTTGGTCTGAGACATAAAGGTAAAATAAAATAAAAGGTACCCCTGAAACATGGAAGATGACGAATTTCAGCCGATTTTGGATTTTAAGCTTCACTGCAGAACAACGAGGAAGTTTTTTTTGCCTCCGTACCTGCCATCTGACACCTCCAGAGAAGGAACTCTGCCTGATCAACACATCAAAGAGCTACTCAACACAGCTCACAAAGACACTCTCATGGACCCAGAGGGACAGACTTCCGTCTTCAGCTCCCTCTGTGCAAAAATGAATTTTATTTCCTACCTATGGGGACTTTTCACCATCTTGTACCATCTACACTTCCCAGAGCCTGATGAAGGGACTTTGATCCTGAAAGCTTGCAGAAAAGGACAGTTTTCTTGCCATTTTCTAGTTGGTCTAATAAAAGGTATAATTTTGGAACCAAGAGTTCTGGTTTTTTGTATGCCTTAAAAATTAAAGGGAAGCCTCCCTATGTAAGGGTAATGGAAAGTCTCTCAAGTTATGGACAAATATACTTATTTTGCTGCTTTGAAAGAGGAAGAGGATTTGCTGCTTAGAAGTAAGCGATATACATTACGATCTAGCTGGTATAGCTGTGTGATCATGTAGCAAGAAGAGTTAGCTAAATGGCCCTAAAGTTTGACCCTGGATAAAACAGGGTTGTTTGCAGCAGTTTTGCTATACACGAATCAGTACAGAATCATGTTGATACAGCAGTTGCAGAGCAATACCATATAGGTATCTTTTGCTCTCAGTGCAGTTCTTGCACGTCTGTACCTTTGCTGTTATACTCCCCTGCCATGAATAAGCCCAGTTCTAGCTTTCAGTTTTGCAGATGTATTACATCTGGGGATTGTGCCCTAGGCTTGTGTATCTGTTTAAGCATAGCTGTCTTATATATGATCACCTGTATTTTAAAACTGACACATATCCCTCCTCCTTTCCAGTTGTGTTTGATGTGTACAGAGACAGCAAGGTAAGTGAATGATGGCTCATGTCATATTGTTGAAGTAGTCTTTATTAATTGCTTTGTGGAAGTGCTGAAGCTGCCTAAAATGACACTGAAGTGAAGTGAATGCGGTGTTGAGTGAATTACAGGTATCTGTCAGCAAGTGGCTGCCATATGCTAGACATTATCCAGGACAGGACAGGAAGGTGGTTGGTGTGTTTGCGTATATGCGCATGCCAAGAATGTGGATGTTTTGCAAACCGTTTCCTCCAGAGAAGGGGCAGTTTATCTTAAAGCATGTAGCTGTGGTTTCAGCTGCAATTGCCTGACAAATACTCAGTCTTTAACAGACTCTTTGAGACTTTTTAAAGTGGTTTATGCTGTCAGAAGAAACTGCTTGGTTAATTGTTCAAGATGAGGGTGGCAGCCTGTTAAGATTGCCTGGTAATTCCCATTTTAAGACCCTCATTTTAGTTGCTTAGAACTAACTGTTTAGTTGAATTTTTTGTGAACAAAAAGGCTGTGAAAAATGCACGACCTTGCCTGTGTTAAAAAAGTTTTGACAGCCTTTTCCTTGAAGTGCTCCAGCTACGCCTGTGCTTTGGAACAGGGCTTAAAAATGTGGCCTTTCTGTCTAGGACAGGCCTTTTGCTGTGGCCCTCAATTTGCCTAAATCTGGCCAAATTAAAAGCTTTGGAAAAACGGAGCATGCACAATCTTCAGGATTTTTCAAGTGCCTAAAAATTCTGTCTTCAGTAAATGTGCTCGTGTTGCTCACAGCTCCTTGTACTGACCAGGGTAAAATATGTACCCTTCCTGGTGGGCAGCTGAGCATGTTTCAGGTGTGCGGCCAGGCTTTACGTGCCCTGAGCCCAGGGCTACAGAGGTGGAACTGCTCTCAGCTGTTTCAAGCTGGAGCAGGGCTGGGAGCTGGAACTGAGCTGTTTTCCCTGCACTCACGCTGGGATTCCTCATCCCCAGCAGCCAGGTAGGAGCGGTTCCCTGAGCTGAATACAGAGGGGGACAAGCAGTTTCTCCTTAGCTGTCAAGACAATATGCTGGGTGTGTGTATCTGTTAATTACTGGTGCAGCTCTTGGGCTCCTGGTAAACTGCCAGTTAGTCCTTTGGGGGTTGCCTGCATGGCTCAAAGCAGCACTGTGCTGACAAGCACCACATCTGCTTACAGGCTGAGCTCCTGAGCTGGAGTTAGTAGCCTTATTAGCCTCCAAAATTTCAATTCAGTTTCTGAATTGTGTGCGCTGCACTGCTGCTGTTCAGAGGTAGCGCACACCGAAGGCAGAGCGCATCTCAGCGTGGCACAACCTTGCACCATACCATGGATGCATTTAAGTCTTTGCCTTTTGCCTCTGCCCATGGGTGCCAAGCTCACAAGTGTATTATTCAGCATCCCTTTAGCATCTGGATTACAAATGCTGATAAAGGTTGAGTCCGTTTCCAGGACCTGTTCTGATCAGCATGTTTTTATGGCAGTCTCACCTGTAGAGTGAGAGCAACGTCCAGCTCCTTCCTACTTAAAGTTTTTTCAGTTGCAAATATCTCTTGGATGGATGGAGTGTTTTTTTTGCCAGGGCTGCAAAATTTGGTAGAGCAAAAAAACCATGCAGGGAGCAACTGAAACATACTGGGGACTTTGCTCCAAGTCCTGCTTTTTCAGAGGGAAGTGGAAGCAGTGCGTTTCATTTGGTTGATGTAGAACATAAAGCAACTTCTCACGTGTGCGTTCGGTCCAGGCTTTCACATCGCAGAATCCAGCTCTTACAAGCTCACTTCTGTTTTTCATCTTGTACTGAGTCTTTCCAATTTAAGTTAACATTCTTTCTCTCTTTCTATCTTAGTTTTGTGGGGGTCGCTCTTGTTACTGATGGGGTGGCTTTGCATGCCAGCATGCAAAACATGTTCTGACACAATCTTGAAAGCCAGGTGGTCTCCAGAGCCAGGCAGCCAACACTACAAAGGCTGAGTTAGCCCAGTTTCATTTGGATGCATTTCTTCAGCTGTTAAGTAGCTGGGACTGAGTTATTTAAACAGCTGCCTGAAGACAGCTGTAGTTCAGTGTTGTATGAACTGATCACTGTACGTATGTCTTGCATACATCCCAGGTCTTAACAATTTGGAAAGCATGTTAGGCTTCTTAGATAAGCTGCTGTAAGAGGGCAAGTATAGTGGGGATATTTCAGGCTGCTGTTAATTTGCAGATCTTAAGTTACAGTAATATTAGTGCTGTGTTGACTCACAGGTGCTGTCATTGTGGGCAGTTCAGCGTTTTCATTTTATCTGTACTGGCTTGGCACTTATCTATCTTGTAACTTCCTTTGACTGCCCTTCGTTTTGTGCACTTCCTTGATGTGGTAATGCTTTTTATTAAAACAAAACTTAAGTTGCTGTATGTCTGTGGGTGTTAAGCAGAATTGCACAGTGTCCTCCATGTGTTTCTTCATCACATGCAAAACTTTGCCTCGATTGCTTATGCACTTATCTGTCTCGAGTGTGATAAGAGATTGCCAATATTGGAAGCCTGCAATAAAGAGCTTTAGCCCTGCTGTGAAGCCAGAGGATGAAAGTGGTCTTGAACTATATTTTAGGGCCATGTGCTGCATTTGCTTCAGTTTACTTTCCCTTAGCGTGAACGCTGTTCATTGACGGAGATAAACGCTTCATATTTAACAACACCTGTCATGAATTTTTTTTTCGATTCCATCATTTTTGAATGCCTTCTACCAGCCATTTGCAGTTACCAGAGTTCAGTGAATATAGAAGAGGATCTTTAGGAATCAGTCAGTGCTGTGGATGAGCACTGTATCTACATTAAAGTGGAAAGTATAGCTGTAGTACCAACAGAAGCATCTGTTCGTCTCACCAATCCGACAGTATGTCTTTGGACAGACTGTAATTCTCCAAAGGGTAGATGAGCTCACAAAAGTCCATATAAAAATTTTTAAGTTGCATATATTTAACAAATCCTTGTGCCAGCCCTTTCTAAAGTCTGAACCCTCTGAAGCAGAAAAAGAACTTGTGAACCACAAAGTGAACTATGCCAGCCATTGCCCCTGTCTCCAATTAAATTGGTTCATTAGCTTGTTTTTCTAAGTGTGGTGGGAATGCAAATGACACATTCTTCCTCCTGATATTGTTGAGCTAATAAGATATCCCAGTTAGTAAAACCAAAACATCATACTATCACAAGAATCTCTGAGCTGGGATGAAAAGTGGAGCGATGGAAACCCATGGTCCCGTTGGCAATGCAAATCTGCTTCCTGCACTGAAGCTGCTTGGGACTCTTCCTCCAGCGTTGCAGCTCAACAGTGCAAAACCACCTTGGTTTCTTTGCCCTTCCAGAATCAAACCCAGCTGCAGTCTGTTTTTCAGGTGCTTGCAGTTTCCGTATTAATAAGCTTCAGTCTTCTGAAATGTGACTGCAGTCCTGACATTTAGCATAGGGAGCATGTGGCAGCGTCTCGAAACTATTTGCTTGTGATCTGACAGGAACACACTGTGGTGTATTTGCAAGAGGGACTCGGCGAAAACTGTGGGAACCCAAACTGCATGGGCTGTCCCGCTGGCTCAGTTGTAGGTTTCAGGTAGTATTACTGTAATACTTCTGTCAACTTTTGCCCTCTGTCCCCCTGCACTAGTAAGGGAGGCTTGAGATAAGAACGTGACTGTGCCTGCTGGCTACCGAGGTCCCGCTCTATACTGCCGTGGTGAGAGCAAGCCTCCTGCTGCCAGACTGTATGAGGGCTGCTTAGATGATATCGTAAATCTGCAGCTGCGTGGAGGTGAGAGGACATTTCAGCAATGTGGTCACCACTGAGGAGTGGGATCCATAGACCCCAAAGGGATTTTCATCCCTGGTGAGGAAATGGCTGTGTTAGAATGCTAAATCTGGAAGTTTTACACTACACCAAGAAGATGGGGACCACAGTCTTAAACAAGATCCCTCTGGCATGAAGGGGAGGAGGGAACAGAGACCTAGGTAATGACCTAAGTAACTGATCTTCAGAATCAGTTGCAAAGTGCCTTATATCATGACTTCAGTGAATAATAATCATAAAGAAATCCTCTTGCCCCTTTAAAGGTACATACAGCATTTCTCTTTGATAAATCCAGGCTCATTCAGACACGATGCCTAACTTGGGAGAAATCCTTCTGTACATGGTTGGGGTTTTGTGCTTTGTTACAGTGTAATTTGTCTTTTATTAGGTAGGTAACACACTGTAAGGAGCAACATGGTTCCCTGTTAGTTTGAAGTAAGGCAGATAGTAGGGTGGGGTGGCATCTTGGAGACTAATTGGTTCAGAGAAGCATGGGCTGCAAGGGGTTAAACTGATACACGGACATGAGAAACTTAGGTTTGACTTTGCTGGTTCTTCATGGTCTTCCCGGGTGAAGTTGAGCAAGTTATTTTCATTTTTCTATGCTTCCATTCCTCACATCTGTAAAACGCACACGTCCCACCCATCCCGCATGGGTGGGTTGTCAGGATAAATGGAGTAAGGGTTCAGAGGAGTTTAGCTACCGCCATGGCTATCTACAGGTATCTTTAGATAAATTTACTTAAGAATACCTTGCATCTGTGAAGACTTTTTGAATTGGGAGGATCCCAGAAGGCATTTTTCAAACTGTACAGTATCCCTGAAATACTGCCACTTCCGAGATGAAGAGCAGCAGTTGTGCAGGCTGCCGAGGTGGCTGGTGTGAGACAGGAAACTTCTGACCAAAGATAACTTGGGCAAATCCTTGTTCTTGCCCAATGTGCGGTGGGACTTTTGAAGGGCTATGCAGAGCAAAATGACTTGGTAATGTCCAGTCTACAAGATCTTCATGTAGGAAACTACGTGGAACTGATCTCAAAATACTTGCCCTCCCTATTTTGACCTTTTATAAGAACTGGTTTTTAGTGGTCCAAGATTTGGCATGTTTTAAAATGAAGTGCAGCCTGCTCAATACCCATGGAGAGAACATTTTAAAAACGTATAATTTAGCTGGCGGTGAAAAGTTCACGTCAGGTTTGATTATTTTTCTTGAGATCAAGTATGCTTGTATTTCTGCATTTAGGTGGATAATATTTTTCTGTCCTTCGTACTGTTTAAATCTGTTGGGTTTTTTTGTTTCCTCCATTGCTTCACTGCAGGGTAAAGTGTGGCTAATAGATTTTAACCCCTTTGGTGAAGTAACAGACTCGCTGCTGTTTACGTGGGAAGAATTAACGTCTGGGCAGAACGTGAAAGGTGACCACGGTGAAGGGGAGGCTACGGAGCAGGTACAGATTTATCTGATGAATAAAACTGCATTTGTAGAGAGAATAGCTAGATGGCTGAATAGGTGGACTAGCAGCCTCGGTTCCTCTCCCGTGTGATTTAGTTACTAATGTGCATTTCTGTTCACCTCAGAGGGGTATGGATTGCATCCCAGACTTTGTTTTTAGTTCATTGATTGGAAATGCCTTGAAAGCAGGATTTATGTCTCCTACGCTGGGCAGGCTCAACAAATAATAGCATCAGGTTTTAGGGCTTCCACTACTGTCTCCTGCAGTGGATACTGTTGAGAAAAAGAGAGAGACTGTATTGCAGCTTTTACCCAATTAAGAAACTTCCCCAGTGTTTCTCTTTACTCAGTTTAGTCCTGTTAATTCCAGTTTGATCCCTTTTATTGCATTTTAAACTGTGCCTTTTTATTTCTTCACATGTACATTTTTAACTGTATGTCCTTCTACTCCATCACTTAACTAAGTTCTGCTGCCTACCTGGATTGCTTTTTCTCTTTGATTTTCCTGGTTTCACAGTTAGTTTGAGCTTCTACAAATCTCTCTCTAACTCTGTCTTTCCGTTACAGGGGTGCCCAAAGCCAAGCCTATTTCCTGTTCTCAGGGGAAATATTCCCCTTCAATCACTAGTGCTTTAGTGCTCTTCCAGTTTGTGACTAACCCTAGGACCATTTGGCCCCAGCTTAACCTCCTTAGCCAGCTGGGGAGAGCACTGAAAGTAGCTGTCTTCAAACTGGAGATTACTGATGGTTCAAGAAGCAGTTGCTAGCAACCTCTGGGGAGCTGCTTAGCCAGTTAGTGTGTCTCTGTCGTTTTCAGCTAATAAACTGCATTAGCACAATTTCTTTCTTAGGCTTGCTTTATTTAGCTTTTCAACAGGATCTGGAAAGTTGGGCTAGAGCTAATGAGTTGAAGTTCAGTGCGGACAAATGCAAGGTGCTACACCTTGGGAGGAATAATCAAAAAGACAAGTATAAAATGGGTGACACCTGGCTGGATGGCAGCACTCTGAAAAAGGACTTGGGAGTCTTTGTAGATCACAGACTCGATAGGGGTCTGCAGGGTGATGCAGCCGCACACAAAGTGAATGAGGTTCTGGGATGTGTCAATAGGAGCATTCAGTGCAAGACACGGGAGGTGATAGTGCCTCTGCTCAGCACCGGTTAGGCCTCGTCCGGAGCACTGTGCAGTTCTGGGCTACACGTTTTAAAAGGGACGTGGAAAAGTTAGAGAGGGTCTGGAGGCAGGCAGCAAAGATGATCAAAGGCTTGGAAAGCAAGTCATGAGGAGAGGCTGAAGGAGCTGGGCATGTTCAGCTTGTAGAAAAGGTGCTTAAGAGAGGCCATGATAGCAGTCTTCAAATACCTGAAGGGCTGCCTTAAGGTAAAGGGAAAGCACCTCTCTCTTGCTGCAGAGAGGAGGATGTGGACCATTGGCTGGAAGTGGTATTCCACTGAGGCTCTGCGGGCTCAACCTGTGCTGGGTGGGCTGGTGGGGGTGTCCAGCGGCACCCGTGGTGGGGCCTGGCCCACCCAGCTCCTCAGGGATGGGCAGCAGCCACCCTGTGCACGTGGGGATGCTGCCTTTTTATTTCAACAAATATTTGCTGGGTAAATTTTGACCATAACTTTGGCAAAGTTTTACTTATTTATGCTGAAACCTGAAGTCCTAACTAAAAGGAGATTTTAAGACTTTTGTTGCTAAACATTATACAATTTATAAACTTTATACAGTTTTATAGCTGTGGGCCCAGCAGCCTTATCTAAAGTTCAGTATATCACAGAGGGAGACCAATTGTTACAGTGCTGTTACTGCTTATTTACTTTAATACATTAATATTAGTACAATCAGGATCCTAGTGGAGGCTCTGACGTATGGGGGGAAAACACTTACCCAGGGACGGCGCCAGCCTCTTCCCAGTGGGGGATCTGAGGTGGGCCAGACAGAAAATTGGGGCAGTTACGCTGCAGGGGGGGTGGACAGGGTGGGCTCAGCTGTGCAGGGCAGGCAGCGCAGCCCAGAGGGAAGGGATGGTGCTGGGAGGGGTGGTTACACAGGGGCTAAGGTCCCCTGAGTGCCCCCCCGCCACCCCCCCAAGCGCCACTACATTTTAATTTCTGCTGATAGATGATTTGAGATGTTTATAGAAAACCCTAGCATTGGTGAGCACTTTTCAATACAATTTAGATGAAATAAACATACTAGCCAAGCAAGTGAAGCTCAATTATTCTAAAGAAATCCACAGTTTTAATTGCAGTGAGATACTTTATGATGACTTTGGGTGTTTTCAACCTGCTCGCTTGCTCTCTCTCTCTCTCTCTCAGGACTATCCAGCTTTCCGTTGCACAAACAGCGGAGTTACCGTCCAGCCTAGCCCTTACCTGAGCTACGGGCTGCCCAAAGATTTTGTAGATCTTTCTACTGGAGAAGATGTCCACAAATTAATAGACCTTCTCAAACTGGTAAGCAAATCCTAGTGGAGGAACTTCTGACTGTTGAGAGGAAAGTAAAGGAACATTAAAGTGCTTAAACCCTCATGTTCTAAATCAGGGGTGTCAAAGATGCAGCCCATGGGCCAGCTGTGGCCCACAGAGTGCCGTCGTCCAGCCCCCAGTGACACTGCTGAGTGAATTGAGCCACGTGCCAGTGGACTGGACCTTTGCACAGAGTCCACAATGCATGCTGCTCGAGCAGTCTGGCAGGGATCTGTTCTATAAACAGCACCCCTTTTCTGCCCCCACACCTTTTCTCTTCCCCAGCCAGCCCAGAATTCACACCACACCTGCTGTATTATAGAATGGGTTTATTGAATTTTACCTTTAATAACCTGGAACTTTATTATCCTCAGTCAGAGCTGTCCACTTCTGAGTGGCTGGGTGCTGCACATCCCTATGCCGTATGGAACACAACCTCCCTGCTCCTGAGTCATATACTGTGCTGGCATGCCACATGGGCACCTCTTTCGCTGCGCTGTGTTGTGTAGATCCCACCCCCCCCGTTACGCCTTATGCCTCCACACTACATCGTGCCAGTGCCCTGTGCTACATGGGATTACTCCCTGAGCCCTGTGGGCTGTGCCACCTTGTCCCCAGGAGAGGGGGCAGGAAGTGGTAACTGGTGGGGGAGACCCCGGCAGCAGAAGCAAGAGAGTGATGTGGGGGATGGCACCCAGGGGCCACAAGTTAACTCCTCAGGGGTCACTTGCAGCCCACAGTTGGACAGCTCTGCCCTAAGTGAAGTTGTTTAATAGGATCTAAAATATGATGAATGTTCCTGGAGAAACCAGCATACCTTTTTGTAAAAGTTGATATTACTTTGGGTGTTACTAAAATAATTTTGTGAGGTCTCAGCAAGCTTTTACCACTCAATAGTTTTTAATTCAAACAACCTCAGTTTCTCTGTTCCTTTGATAACAATTCTTTGATGTTTTTACTGGCCCAGAATGACCTTCCCTCTACTTTTTCCACACTTGGGTGGGACAGTTGGAAGATTTAATTTTTTTTTCTTAAATCAAACATATGATTCAACACGAGCAGAGTCTATGGTATCGGTGTCCTGAACCACCCAGCCTTGAAGGTCAACGCGGGCAACTCAGATTCTACCCATAAACTGCATGCTACAGAAGTGTAGTAATGCGGTTCATGATGCTGCTTGTATATCGCAAGTCTTAGGCCAGGTCCTCTACCAGGATAAGGACTTGCCCTTAAGTTGTGTGCGTCATTTTTATTAGTGACATTTCGCAGTCTACTTCATATTGTTCCACCACATCATAGGAACACTGCTGCAGAGTCTAACAGGAGATATGATCAGGAAGTTTCTGACTTTCATTTAATCTGCTTTTTTCCATTTCATCCCAGGACTTCAAATTTTAACTCTTTTGTAATTCCCCAAATCGTCACCTGCCTTGTTACCGGGTGTGACGGTATCTAATGCTGTGTTTTTGTGGTATTAATTATGACAATTGACTGATGCCAGACACATCCCAAGACATGTTTGCGTAATGCCATTGCTGCTTCTATAGTCTTAAAAGACAGGTTTTCAGTGTGTGCGTCCTTTTAGGGGTTCCCATACGCTCTGGTAGCACTGATGGAAGAATAGAAGAGAGAAATGCTGATATTTCTACATTTTATTTTCATACCAAATCAATTGGAAAATAAATCAGAATATCAAAACTTTTTTCAGACCAAATGGGGGGCGGGGAATTGGATAAATTGAAACTTCTCAGTTGAAATAAAACATTTAAAGATTCCTGAATTTAAATGTTCTGTCAGAGCCAAATGAAATGTTTTCTTTCCATTTCACCTGCAACAATGGCACAAGGGGATCACTGAACCTGTAAAGGGATTGGATTGCTGTGGCTAGATACTATAACGATGAGTCTTATGAAGCCTGTTAGAAAAATGTAAAAAATTGTGTTCAGATGTTTTTGCTTCATTGTGGGTTTTGATGTCACGTTGGCCATTGATTCTCCTGGTTTCTAAGTTCTTGTTTATGGACTGTTTTTGCTGGTTGAGACTAGGTGACATATTTTTCTCCTGAATTGTAAATAAAAAAAACTCCTTGTGAATTTGCATTTATAAATATAAATGTTACCACATAACCTTCAAAGAATGGCTTAGAAGTACATAAAGTTTTTTTTCTAATGCCAACATCTCTAGAAAATGCTTGTAATTTTTTGATGCTTTTATTAAAGATAATTGCATATAACATGGTTAACTTCCCTGTTTCCTTGGCAGAAAAGAAATCAACAAGATGATGACTGAGAGATCATGAAATGCTGGATGAAATTTTAAGCGAGAAATGTGGCTAGATTTTTAGACTACCTGTTAAACATCAACTTAAAGAAAATCTGCTTTTTGTATTCAGTGAAAGAAGTGAAGAGCTGCCAAGCCTATTTGTGTATTAGTTTAATAAATATAAAATCTAGGAAATGTTTTTCTCATGGCAACGTGGTATGCTGGCTTATTGTGTGTTCTACGCTCTTTCAGTGCTTAATTAGGATCATAGGATAGTAGGGCTGAAAGAAACCTCATGAGATCATTTTGTTCAAGCCACCGCTCAAGGTGGGATCAGCCCGGCCAGGCGTCTCTTCCAGCATGCTCTTGACGACTTCCAGGGATCGAGAGTCCACAACTTCTCTAGGTGGCCTGTTCCAAATGCTCGACCATCCTCACAGTCAGGAAGTTCCTCCTGCTCTCCAATCTACACTTTATCTGCTGCAGCTTGAGGCCATTTTTCCTAGTCCTAGAGCAATGGCTTCAAGCTGCAGCAGAGAAAATGTGCTGTGTTACTATCCTGATGCAAGCAAGCATATCTACATTTGGACATAAGTAATTGAGTCCCTGGTTTTTAGCCTGGGAGCACCCGCACCAGTGAGGGTCACTTCAAACTGTAAGACTTTGCTCACTCAAATACATCCCACAAATAGAAAATACAAAATGTCAGCTATCCTGTGTATTTAATCACATGGTTTTAAAGTATAATCTGTTGGTAAAAGAATACAGCAATTTGCAGTCTTTCCTATGTAATTTTTTAATGGTAAGTATCCATGTTGAGATTTCTCTCGTTAAAGTCATCTGCTGGTAAATTGCTCAGTTAAGGATTTTAGTCATTTGAAATTCTGAAATCACTTTGAATGAAGTAATATTCTTCTCAGACTGCAACTATAGTCAGGAGATGTGCAAGGTCCAGTACTTCAAAAACAAATGTGATAAATATGCTGAAGGAATAACATTTATTTTCAAATATCTCATCCACAGCTGATGGCTTAAAAATTATATAAAATAGCCTCATAATTTTGTGTGGGTCTGGTTTTTCTGCTGTCGCATCCACTCACTGGCTTCTCTGAGAAGATGATCTGTTTCATAATTATGATGGATTCTGGATTCATTTGACACTTTAACCCTTTCTGCTAATAAGAGGAATCCTGTAAACTGGCCAAGAATCTGGAAAACCTGTGTTCTTTACCCAGCTTTATCAGCTTGCTCACTTTAAAACTTTTGCAAGTTACTTAGATGGAAATTTAGGGTCAACTGATTTTGGGGCATCTCGGTTTTTGGCTACCCAGCTTTACACCTTGATGCTGATAATCGGAGGTTACATACACAACTCCTGATGAGGTGAATGGAAGTGCAGTTCCTAGTCACCTCTGAAAATTGGAACCTCCTGCATCTCATGCTGAGCATCCAACAATTAATGCATCTTTTCAAGTCCAGTCCTTTGCTTCTCTGTGCATGGCTTTCTCTGTAAAATGGGGATGACTCTTAAAGTAAAAAACTAAACACGGAAAAAAGGTCACTTCTCATCCCTATGCAATTTCAGTTTTGAAAGACCACTTGTGGCTGAAGATTATATGGATAATGAACATGTTCTGCTTTATGCAGTTATCAAACTTGATGCTTGTGCTCCTTGAAATAGCTGAATTAACAGGTGCTCTTGCAGTCTGCAATTATAAAATGTGTTTTCCTTCCTTACGAAACTGCAAGGAGAGCTTAGGCATACATGTGTTGAGGATAGTCCAAATGGAGGGCATCCTACCTTGGAGCAGGCAGTTGAATTAGACAATCAGTTGAGATCCTTTTCAGGGCTACATTTAATTCAGTGAGAAGTTAATCTTTCATGCTTTAAACGGCATGTGTAGGAATCTCGTAAAATTTAAGGGAACTTTTAGAACTTACGAAAGTATTAAAGCCAGAGAAAGAACTGTTGTCATCATCTAATCAGACCCTCCTGCACTACCCTGCCGTCTTAGGTGAAATCCTATGTCAAGTCTGATTCCTGGTGAAGCCTAGTGGTGGAGAATCCACTACCTCCCAGTAGCAAGATCCAGCATTTTAATGATCCTTTATCACAGGTCCCCAACCTGGACCCTCACCAGATGCTCTGTATGGGTCCCACCATGGTTTGTGTTGCTGTTTCCTTCTTCCTCTGCTTATCCTGAGGTTATAGGATGACTGCTATAATAAAATGTCTCTATTCCTCTCTCCCTCCACTGCTTCATTGGTCTCTGTGAGCCCTTCTGAAATAACCCTCTGTCAGGTCGTTCCATGATCTGCCTTGTCAAGTCTTTGCAGTCCCTCATCTAGTGATTGAACTTGCAGGAGGAGGAGAAGTATCCAGACTCAAGAAGTGGTTTCTCCCAGGGTGGATTTGATTGAAATCAAATTGATTTAACTTGTAATTTAAAATCACTGGTCAGGAAGCCTTGTTTTAATCACTGTTTTCTACAAAAAGTGAATTCTTGTTGTTTGATATAACTTTTTATATATATCATTCACAACTCAGAGAGGGGTATGTTTCATTTTTAGAGGGTACACATGCATTTTAAAGCAGTGATTTATTTTGATATTTTTTCAGATTAATTTTGCAGCTACATCAGAAGAGTGGATTAGGGTTTGGTTATTTTATTGACTAAAGCAAATTGAGAGAGGATACTTGTGAAGTCATTGGGGAGTGAACTAGGATCAGATCTTTACAGTGTGCAGCTAAAAGCTTGAGCAAAAAGTGTTTGATTTTCAATTAGATAGTAAGTATAGAAATTGCTGGAGAAGGGAGGGAGTACAGAAGCTAGAAAACAACTACCAGATAGCAACATCTTTATAAAGTAGCTGGGTTTGCTCAGCATCTGAGTTGCACGTCAACTTGATGTGACAGTCATGGTTCTTGAATTGCAGTTCTGCCAAGAGTGCTAATGAAAATACTGCATTATGCCTCAGTCGGTAGTGTTTTTAATTTTTCAGCTGGACAGCAGTCCATCAATACTGTACTAGCATCTCCTAGTAAAGATATTGGGTCTTTAAAAAAATTACTAAGAGTAAAAATTACACCCATTTAAAGTTACCTCCTTAATGAAGAGGAGTCAGATGAACCTACCCTTTTTGTGTGGCTTTAATTCCAGGGTTGTCCCATGTTTTTGTTCCCTTTGATCTTCAGCTTTCCTGATGCCTTTCTTGTTTTCCCTTAGCCCTCCACTCCAGTATTTGGATTAATCTGAACGCTGGAATAAGAACAAGCACAAATAATATTGAACTGAACCAAAGACTCAACTTCTCAGTGCAACACTTTCTATGTGTATATTTTCTGGTTTCATTTGCTGAGTGTGCTTCTGGAAAGAAAACTATAAATAGGGATAATGGTTCCCCCCCTGTCGTTTACTATATGTCCCCTTGAGCAAAATGAATACCACCTGTTGGATTTTGGTTGCCTTATATGGCCATGAAATCCTCATGAGCATATTTCACATTCTCAGGCACTCTGTATTAATCTCCTGCACATCTTTGTGTGTCTACATATAACCTAACACCGAGGCCAAAGGCAAAGCAGTCGAAACCATAGACACAAATAAGGAAGAATATAGACCTTAGGAAATATAATCTCTATGCAGCCTTTTACTGGTATGTTGCCAGATGTAAAAACTTGATGACAAGTGGTCAAAGCTGGCATTTTTGGTAATGTCGAGATGGGCATTGGAATAAGAGACAACCATGGTTAAAAATAGATAGTGCTTCCTTCCCACATGTGAGTCAGTTTATCTTTCGCATGCTGAAATGCTTCTATTGTCTCTTCTTGCTGGAGAAGAGTGCCGATAGCAGCATCTGGTAGTGTGGCAGCCAAAATGTAAACGGGCAAATCAGTTTGGCAATTTGTGAACATCTTTCTTTTGAAGGAATAGGTCGTGCAACAAGGCTGCATTTGGGGAAGTTTTGAAGAAAACTAATTTTATGGAATAAAAAGTACAGATGTCTGCACCAACAACTGCCTAGCTGGTGGAGAGACCCAAAATAAGTTGGCTTTTAGCACGCAATAAATTAAAGGCTTAATATGGGAGTGTTGAACTGAACATAGACTATTTTATTCAGTAGTAGAATTAAATTCCTAGATCTTACTTTTTTTTTATTATCGTAACAAAAGCATAATTAGATATAGGGTTTGCAGCATCTTAATTTCCGCTGAGGTAACGATTAGCATTCAAGTCAAATACTAATTCTGAGACTTTAATTAAAAGAGCATTTATCTGCATAATTGATCCCTTATCCTGTGCAGACTTGTTAGAGTCCTTTAGTAACCATGTCTGATGATAGTATTTTTATTATAATAAAAATGTAATGCAGTTGTTTGTTTGGGCATCTTACTTCCTACTAAATATTGCAGTGAAGCATAACAGCACAGTTATGGCAAGTACTATCTGGGTGCTCACGGCTCTCGTTAGACCTACTCCAAAATTGTCAGTAGTGATTTCAGACAAAATTCTGATTCATTAAAATGTTTCGTACCACTTTCAAGTAAGGAGTTCTCTGGTTGAGGGTAGGATTGCTGGCTGGGAGACGTGCAGATAGACCCACGTGGGTGGATGTTGAAGGGTCAGTCAGGGAATTTATATGGGCTGAAATGGAGCAGGTGTTGAGGTTGGCCCAGCAACAGGCTGTGGTCAATGAGCAAGCTCAAAAATAGGAGACCAAGACTGAAGATATGATGCCCCTCCAATTTCGCCAGGTAGAGACTTCACAAACTCTAGTGCTGGAAAACCAAAACGTGATAGCAAGTACATCTGCCATCAACGTAGGGAGAGGTGGGCTTGCTTTTGCTGGGGGTTGTGTGCATGATGAACGAAGATGACCCAGAAGCATTTATAAAAGTGTTTGAGTGAATTTATAAAAGGGTCCAATGAAACAGATTGGCAAAAAGAAGGGTGCTGAAAGCCCTAGATCCCTGCCAGTTGGCACAGCAGCTCAGATGCAAGGCCACCAGCTGACTCTGGAGGACCTGTTGGAGCAGATAGTGCTGCAGCAGTTAGTCTGGGACCTGGAGGAAGGAGTGAAGGGCTGGGGGAAAAGACATCAGCCTCTAACAAGAGGAAGATGTAAAATTAGCAGAAGATTATTCTGCAGCAAGGAAGGGACCAGGGCAAGAGAAAAGGGAAGGGGACCTAGAGAGCTGGAGTGAGCACAGGTCTGCCCAGCTACCCAGGGTGTCGTGGCTACCCTTGGAGCCAGGCATTTACTACATCCTTTCATGCAGGATGCTGAAATGTCTTCAGCTGATAACTAACTCTTACCCTGGGATAAACTTACCAGATGAGAAGCTGATAAAACCCACCAGTAGGCAAATAAGAGTGAAAGAGGTAGAATTTGTGGGGCAGATGACATTGAAAACTCATAGAGTCAAAGTAGAGATGAGAGAGAATAATAGGACAATGTGCTGAGCATCTGAGACATTTGGGTACAAATGCTAGAAATATGGGAAATAAGTTAGAATAAGTTAAAGTCTGACCACTCAACCCAAATGGTGACTTAATCAACATTAGAAGATGGGACTGGCATATTGTTATTGGAAGGCCTGAGGATACGGGGAAGGGGGGAAGTGGTTGTCCTGTGCATCAGGAACATACATACGTGGAAGGTCAAGAAGAGGTGCGGCAGGTCTGTTAGTACGTCTCCAAACAGAAGTAAAATTAGCCGGTTAGTCTGAAGTCAAGTAAAAGGCAGAGTAGATCCTGCCTTCTACTTGACTTCAGACTAACATGACTTAACTACGTCTCTGCTCATGGAGGGCAACTGTTAGCCAAATGAAATGGGCTGCAGTCAATCTACACAAGATCTATCAGGTGCAAATCTACCCTGCTATATACTTGAATGTCTGCCAGTGCAAATAAGAATAGTGAGACTGTCATGCTAGGGTCCACTATAAACCAGGGCAGAGGAGATGGATGAGGCTTTTTCTGAGCAACCACCAGAAGCATCCAAGGACCAGGAACTGCTGGTAATGTGGAACTCCTTATTGCCCAGACATGGGTTGGAAAAGCAGCAGAGCTGAACCCAGATAGTTCATCAAGTTCTTGCCATCTGGTGGGAACAATTATTTTCCAAGAACATCGAGGAACTTAGTAGGGGGCAGCTATTTTAGACTTGACTCTGATTAACAGGAACTGGCTGGGAATCAAAAGGTGGAAGGTAATTTGGGGTGTAAGTGATCACAAAATTACACTGCACTCTCAGAAGAAAATAAAGAAGCTGAAGGTACTCAAATAAGGAATAGTCTTCAAAAAGCAAACCCCAGACTTCAGTAAACTCAGAGAACTGGTAGGAAGAGTCTGTTGGTAAGAGAATTAAGGGACAAAGGGCAGGAGAGCTGGCACTTGTTGATCCCTGTCAGTGTTATCTTCTCCATTAGTGCTGGTCAGGGCTTAGGCATTACTGGTCACGTCGGGCTCCTTCCATTTGAATGGTTTGTGCGCACTGGCACAATTCAGTCGTGATGCTGTGTCCCTAGCAAGTTCATTAGTCCAAGAAAGAGACCGTAGAGTTTGGTTCTTAGTAACAAAAACAACTAGACTTATTGTTACCAAACCTAGATGCTAGCATCCGTGACCAACTGATACACGGTGCCAGCTGGGTCTTTTGCAGGCATGGCGCAGGCATGAACATAACCCCAAAGCCCAGTACAAAGCATTAAGCATTCCCAAGCACCTTTTTATACACTGGTCACAACAACTTTGTGTTTACAACAGGTGCAAAAGTTTTCCCCCATTACTAAAAGAGCTTTAGGTGATGACATCCACATCCTACTTCTTACCAATAAGTGCAACAAGATGCAGACACCTGTGGTAAGGTCACTCTGACCTTTGTTTTGGTGTTCAATACTGGTGGCATCAATTCACTCTCTATCTGTTGCTCTTGGGAGCTCAGAACTAATGACTGACTTTTCCAGCCCTTCCACACAAGCTGTGTGTGTTATACCTAGTTTTGGGTTCATTGGTGCCTACTTCAATTCATCCATATATATGTGTATATATATATTTGCATATGTGCTGACTCGTGTTAGCGAAGGCTGCAGTTGTTACTGGAAAAAAAACTACTAATGTCTCAGTGTCCATCTGTCCTGATGTGAAGAAGATGGAGGAAGCGCAATAAGAGACCAACGTGGCTGCATTAGGAGCCTCTTTAAAAATGTGAAAATAGAAAAGAAATAGAATTGTATAAAAAAT